AATAATTTTATTTAAATAAAATAAAATATTTGTATAATTGGCATTACGATAAAAAGTGAATTTATTATTTAAAATCGAAAGTTAAAAATTTTGAATTAAAATTGTTTAAGTTGATTTTTTTTTAGGTATAGGTACTCTTATATTGGACGTAATCTTATTTGAAGTACTGTAGAGTATTGAAAGTCAACCATCAAGCAGGGTGAGATGTGAGGAAATTTATTAATATAAGACCCTGTTTGACTTTTATTTTTATCCTAAATATAAGACCCCAATCCATATTGTCTCTCATATTTACTCAATTTTTTTTCAAAATAGTCCTTCTAGTAATTATAATTCTAGTCAATACACTTGATTAGTAAAGATATTTTAGGAAATACAACACCTATTTAGGACAAGTAACTAACTTAACTTACTTCTTTAATCTCTTCAAATTAATCAACTGACTCTTATAATTAGGATTAGAGGTAGTATTATGTAGCCAGAGCCTAAAGCGGAGAAGGAAAGAAAAGCTTTTACTGTGTGAAGGGAAGAATGAATGAAGACGTTATATCAAATATCAAAGTGGAAAAGGGGTTTAAATTTAAAGTGCTGGTGTTCTCGTATCCTGCCACCGATCTCCCCTGTTGCAGTGTCCGCCATCTGCTAGCAAGGGGCAATCGGGCATTTCCTTATTTTTCATTTTTTTAAATTACAAAAATACATTTATTTAGCTGGCATATCAAATGAAATCCGAACGGTCAGTGGCTAGTGGCTACCCTGCATTCATTTCTTATAAGCATCTTTACGAGTTCTTTTTCGCTTTTGCTGGATACAGTAAAAAAGAAGAGGAGGAAGAAGCGGTGGTAACTGGGTCAGCCAGTGTTTTCAATCACGAACACTTTTATCAAACAATAAATGATTTCAAAATAGATATTGCAATTTACATGATGTCCCCGTGGAACGTAACAGCTCTGGGGCTGGCCCGTGTTTTCCTGTATCTGCTTTGCTTGTCCAGGGCCTTCTGCCATGTTTGTTGTCTAGTGGATATCGTATTGGCTCGGCCTGTATGGAGGACGCCGAAAATAGCAAAACGTCTGGGGAATATTTTAAATTCTAAAATGCAATTGGAAGAATTACAAGCCTAAAAAAAATAATTATTAAAAGATCTAACAATTTAAATAGTTTATAATGACAGTTTTAAAGTACATAATAATATCTAAGACTTATTCTGTAATTTTTTTTCCCGAGTTCTCACTATAATTCTCTCTTATTAATTTGACCACGTCAAGACCTCAGTTTCCGAAAATTTTGGTGAAATTTCACGAGAATGAAAACCATGGCCAACATACAAACCACACACCCGGAAAAGAAAGTGCTAAATTTATAACAGAGAAACAAGAGTCAGACACTATTTTCAGTAAAACACAGCACAGATCCACCTGCCCATATAAAAGCAGAGGAGCAGCGGGCTTTTCCAACCTTTGTCTCTGCTCTTGAACCCGCCCTCTTCGAATAAAAGAGATAGAGACAATGGAGTTTAATAAAAAAATTATCCTCGTGGTTCCCCTCATCTGTTGCTCGCTCCTTTCGGGCATCGACGCCGTTCCCTCATATCGCGTCAAACTGCTCGAAGAGCCTCCGTCGGCAGCCCCAGCTCCGTCTCCCTCCGACGACCTCGGAGGCAACACAGCGGCGTCACACAACGCTCAGCTGACAGCTCTGTGCAGTGACGCAGAGTCGCCACCTCTGTGCGTGAACGCCATCGCGCCATTCATCCAAGGCGCGCTTGACCCCGTGGTGGCCGTTAAGGTCGAAATGGGGGCGACCATGAACATCACTACGAAGGTCTCTGAGACAATCAAGGCTTTGCAAGCCAAACCAGATATTACTAAAGACGAAAAGGCGTCACTGGACATATGCGCAGACCAGTACTCATCGATTGTGGATACTATAAATGATTGTTTGGATTCCGTCAAGCAGAACGACGTGTACGATGCCTGGATGAAGTTCTCGTCGGTGCTGTCGTACCAACAGGCATGTGAAGATGCTTTTAAGGAGGGTGGGGGTTCCATTCCCTTCCCGGAGGATTCGAAGACTCTGTTCCAGTTGGGCGGTAATTGCTTGGCCATCCTCATGCATCTATCTGGCGAAACCTCGACTTATTAATAAGGAGCGAGCCTGCGTTATATGCTCGGGACTTGGACAGTTCAATGAGTCCTTTTAGTTATTATTATGCACTCCTCTGTGTTGCTATTGTTTCTTGCCGTCGTGCTATGTTTATTGTTGCGGAAGACGCAATGCATCGGTTTTTATCGCGGACTATATAATTCACCGTTTCATGGTTGAAGCTTCCTTTTCTTTTTTCCAGGAAGAAAAACTCCAGTTTTCACTTCTCACGAGCAAGCAGTGGAACCTCAAATCGAAGTATTGTAGTGAAACCGCAATGAAATCTTTTTCTTTCTCTCTCCCTCTCTCTCTGTTTTTTTTTTTTTTTTGCCAACGAAACCGCAATGAAATCTAATTATACACTTCACGTTTCGTTGAATGATCAAATATTATTTTTATTTTTTAAAATTTAAAATATGTTTGGATTATAATATTGCACGTGGCATCAGTCTCAATAGTTAAGCAATTATATTCCATTAAGCTACTCCTCTAAACCTCAAAATTTTCACAGAGATCATGTCCGTCTCTTGAATCTTAGAATTAGACTTTCAATGTTAAATTGGCGGGTTAGCAACATGCTATGCTTAACACTCCATTAGCTTTAAAATGCACAGAGGAACAAAATGCGATTATAGAAGCATCCGCTGGACTGGCTAGCAATTGCCTATATTGAAAAAAACCTATATAAAGTTATTTATACTATTAGGTCAAGTTTTTCAATAATATTCTGTGTCTTTTTTTATTTATGTTATGTGGATTTACAATTAAATACTATTAAATATTAATATTTTAAAAATACAATACACAATTATGTGTGATTTGATAACCTGTCACGATAAATATAATACATGATATTTCAATATACAAAAGATCGAGTGCCTCAAAATGTAGTTAATATGTCTAAACATAAAATATAATTTTTATGGAGGGGTGTATTATTCATAAGTTTGTAATTTGTCATCAAATATTTTCATAAGCGTATAATTGATACAGGGTTTATGACTGTAAAAAAAAAAGAAAAAAGACAACGTATTCCATGTATTTTCTTTTGTGTGTGCGCTTTTTCAATTTCGATGCACACATTTCATGAATTTTTAACATATCAATTAATTTCAAGGTGTTGTGCTGATTTTTGACTAATCAAAATTAAACCAGGTGTTCATATAAAACCCTTTCAACGACTTTTTTTTTACGGGACAATTCCCTTAAAAAATATTTCTAAAATTTCAAAATTTTAAATTATGAATGAATACAAAAATATGTTATCATTTGTTTTTCAAATATTTTCAATTATTATTAAAGTATAATAAACAAAATTGATTTGAAATTTTAAATTTTAAATATTTTTTGGGGATTATTCCTTTTTTCATTCACGAATCATGAATTAAGGACCTTCTGGAGATAAAAGACCATCCATTTTAATGAATGTTAGTGTTTGAATCAATACTATATATAGTTTTTAATATAAAAACTAATTTGACTTTTAATTTGATTTTAAATATAAAATCTCAACATATTTTGTCTTTTTTGTTTATCCATTTTTTAAAGAGAATCCTTACATTAGTTGTACCTGCTAAATATTTCATCAAGTGGTAGTTTTAGATAATACGCTTGATTAATACGGATATTTTAAAAAAGATAATACCTATTTATTATAAATAAACCAACATAACAAATTTTTTTAATTTACTTAAATTAGTCAATAGACTTTTATATTAAGGATTTAGGGTAGTAACAAATATGACGAGCCACATGATAAAGGCATTTTTTTCCCTCAAAAAATCGTATGAAATCAAAATAATTTAAGGAAGATTGTGCTCTAAATAAATTTCTCAGCTGACTAAAATCTGAAGAAACATTAATTAACAGGAAAAATATCGTAGAAATAAAATTAATTTGGAAGGCAAAGCTAATTTAGAATAGCAGGAATGTTGAGAGCTTTCGTATCATGAGCTCAAGGGTTTACATTTTATCCACATATTTTGCAGAAATAGTTTTCACTGTCGATAAAAAATGCCCAGCAAAATTATTATTTTCCAATCAATAGCTAAATAAATAGACAGAAATCGTGTCAAGCTGTCAGTACTACTTCCGGTTCTAATTATAAGAATCAATTGACTAATTTGAGGAGATTAAAAAAATAAGTTGAGTTAGTTATTTGTTCTAAATAGGTGTTGTCTTTCTAAAATATTCTTACTAATCAAGTGTATTGACTAGAACTATTATTGTTAGAAGAGTTACTTTGGAAAAAAGTGTATAGATATGAGAGACAAAATGAATTGAAGTCTTATATTTAAAATTAAAATAAAAATCAAATAAGATTTTATATTAAGAACCCAAGAAAATATTATTATCTGGCAACGTGTCCGAAGTGTTGAGGAAGAAGTAAAAACATCGAAATTCCAAAATGACCAAATTTCAGGCCTAAAAAAAAATAGAGTGTTATAAAAAGAAGATAACTACAAAAAAAATTTAATGGCAAATAAAGAGTTATTATTCATACCTGAGAACTTGTCAGTTATTCAGTTATTATTAAAATTTTATATTATCTCCAATTTTAATTATAAGATATTGTTTATTATAAACGAGGTCTGATTAGGATAAAAATAATAATAATAATTATTATTTTTGGATTTAATTGCAATCTCCAAAAAAAGATAACAGTGAAATGGCACGTCACCCATCGGGCGTTCCAGGGTTTTCACTTTCCGGGGTACCGATTCGCCGCTCTGTAGGGGTTTAAGGATGTGACACGTGTCCCAAAAGAGCTGAACAAATGAGAGAAGATAATGTACGACAAGGTGCGCAATTCCTTAACTTGCGCCAAAACTTGCAGCGAGACCGTGTGTAGAAGGCGAGGGAAAGTAAAAGGAAAGAGTGGCGGGAGAGAGAGGGGGAAATAGATAGACAGAGAAAGAGGAACGAGTTAGGATCGGCGAGCGAGCCCGAGTCGAGTTGGGTGACCCCATCCAACAAAAAATGGTGAACAAAAAGATCATTAGTCATCTCTCGCTTCCAACCAGCGCCACGCCCTTTCTCTCTCATATATTCTCGTTTTTGTGGTCAAATTGCTCCAACCCTAAACCCCAAATCCAATTCTACCTCACATCTCGCCATTCCTTTTCCTGTCTCTACCACCACCTACGCGAATCCATCATATTTTCTCATACGCAGCACAGGCACTTGCTTCAGAATTGGCTGTTTCGAGCCATATTCCCTTTTCGTCGTCTTCTTTATTGCTAAGGTTTTCAATTTTGATCTTCGAGGGACAGTCTGTTTCTGGAATTTTATTCGACATCAGAGGTAATCGAATCTTTCGCTGTTATTTCTTAGTTGGTTGTTTTAATGGATATAATTCGTCAGCATGTTGGTTTCCATTGGTTAGGATGATGTTTCCGATGGATGCTTTGTTCATGTTTGTATTCTTCAATTGACGAGCTATCACCTTGGACCGAATGAGGGGGCCGTTCATTCTTCACTCATCTTGTCTGGGCTTCTGAAATTTTCTTATATTCTTTGGTTTTGCGAAGATGATGCGTTTGTACTTTATTGGTCTGTTTACTCTTGGTTCAACATGTTTTTTCAGTCGGTTATTGTTGCTTAATTAGTTTTTATTTGTCTTGCGAAATCAATTTCTCTGTTTTGTGGTGATGGATTTGCGGTGCCACTTCGTTGAATTCTAGGTTTTCTCTTTTTGGTAGTGCCTCTTTTTGTTATATCGAATACCTGTCTGCACCTTTACAAATTTACAAGTGAAATTTGTTTTAACCCCACTTTTTCCTTTTAATCTGTCTGTATTTTCTTCTTGCCATTGCGGCTTATCCTATAATGATTTTCTTCTAGTTTGCATGTATTTGCATGCACTTTAAAGGTACACTTCTTCCAGGATAACTTCACCATGACAAAGAAAAGTCGGAGTATTCGACAGTATATTGATGTTATTTCTTAAGTAGATTGTTTTGTTTTGATGTTTGAGAGATAACTTGACTTTTAGTTATCTCTAAAGATTCGCTAATGTGGTTACTGATGGTTTATTTTTATTCTCTTGCAGCAGAAATTTTCGTAGTTATAAGATGTTTATATCTATTTTGTCATCTCGGTGGTAGTGGAAGGAGTACCAGTGAAGCTGTGCTGTAGTAACAATTAACTAATGGAAGATTTAGGTGGTACCCGATTTGATGGCCTTGGCAGTGCGGCAAGGAAGAAACGTAGTCAAACTTCTCGCCGGCCTCGGCCAGATTCACAGCCTGTTTCTGATGGTCAATCTCCCTTGTCATCATCACCTTCAGATGATGCAAGCAAGGCCTCTAGTGATGAGAATAGTGGTTGTGATAATCATCCTAAGAGAAAAGAATTTAATCTTAACCAGTATGTCTCTAGTGTCCCCTCTGCTACTGCAGCTGAAGATGATAAATCCCATAAGAAGAGTGAAACGGATGGAGAATTCCATTTGTTTTTTAATAACGAGCCTGGACAAGTTTTATATAACAAACGGTGCAGTGAGGGTGTCCTTGCTCCTGCTAACTGGAAAGGCTCCAGCAAATCAAAGGATAGCTTAGAATCGGAATCAAGCGTCGCAGATATGTATGGTATGAACCTGGGGCAGCCAGGAGCCTCTCAGGATAGCTTAGAGAATGAAAACAGGGTCAAAAAGGTTAAACTCAAGGTTGGTGGTGTAACGCGTATGATCCAAGCTAACTCTGCTCCTAATGGTTCATCAAGCAGTGGGTCCACTGCAAAGAGCTCTCAGCTGTCAGATGCCTCCAGACCACGCCAAAAGCAACAGGTATTTCACTCTTACGAATGATTATAGATTCAGTCATCATTCTTCATCCTAGCCTCCTCCTCAGCTTTTTTAACCTAACAGAACCACTCAATTGAAACCGAGCACATCTTATCTTCAAGCCCGGGGGGGGGGGCTGAGCACACCTGATCTGGCTAGCTATGCGGACTTACCAAGTCGATTAAGTATTTAAAGTCTTGCTTTTATGGAACAGTATCTGGTGTCCTGATTTCTTTGCACACTGTTTCATCTTTTAAATTCTGTTATTGCAGGGAAATTCAGATGATAACCAGTCCCCTTCAGATAAGAGGAGTGGCCTACAAGGCATTCCGTGGAAAAATTTCTCAAGGGATGGGTTTGGTCTTGGAAAGGTGGATTCTGTGATAGGGAAGATATCAGGAAAGGACACATCCAGTAAGCAAGGCGACAAGACTGAGCCAATCCGTAAGAGCAAGCGAGTACCAAAGAGGCGTCTATTGGATGGGGAATTTGGTGATGATGACAACGATGAGGAGATTCGCTATTTGGAAAAGCTCAAAACATCAAAAGTTTCTGCAGTGTACAGAGATGAAGAAGTAAGCAAGAAACATAGAAAATTATCCAGTGTCTCTGATGTGGAAACTTCTGCCTCATCAAGGTCAGTCAAAGATGGCAAAAGCAAGTCCATATCAGATAGAATGTATGAGGACACAGACTATGAGGAAGATGAGGATTCTGGGTCTGATGTTGAGCCTGAGCACAAGAAAAAGAGAAAGCAGAAGAAGGAATCTGTTGATGTATTGATGGACAGTAAAAGGGAAATGACTCTCACAACACGCCAAAGGGCCCTTCAATCAAGCAAGGATGCCTCTGCATCTGGTGCAAGTCTAATAGAGTTTCCTAATGGATTACCGCCTGCTCCACCTAGAAGTGAGAACTTGTATTTCGTGTGCCTTTATTTCATTATGTTGTTTTATTCAGCTTTGTTTATGTTGCTTTTATTCTAATATAGAGCAAAAAGAAAAGCTTTCGGAGGTGGAGCAACAACTAAAGAAAGCTGAGGCTGCCCAGAGGCGTAGAATGCAAGTTGAGAAGGCTGCTAGGGAATCTGAGGTTTGTTCTGTTCCATCCAAATTATTGTTATGTTTCTGCTATAGTTGATTTCAGGAGATATAAATGCTTGTTTTAATTGCTTTTGTAGGCTGAAGCTATCAGAAAAATACTTGGTCAAGACTCCAGCAGGAAGAAACGGGAAGAGAAAATGAAGAAACGCCAAGAAGAACGGGCACAGGTTTGGCAGCAACAAATGGATCCCACTCACTATTTTAATTTCCTATGCAGCTTCAATTTTTGCTGTCTTGATTCTTTGCAGGAGAAGGCAGCTAATGCGCAGATGCTCGCATCGAACACCATCAGATATGTGATGGGTCCTGCTGGAACGGTTGTTACTTTTCCTGAGGAGATGGGCCTTCCTAACATATTCAGCTCCAAACTCTCCAGGTACCAAGCTTCTAGCTAATCTGGATTTGGATTTTTATGATTTTGACCACTGATATTGGTGAGGAGCTAGAGATGCTTGTCTAAGTTTGTTGGAGGCATTCTCTAATGAAGAATATCATTTGGTAATTGTTTCAGTTATCCACCTCCGCGTGAGAAATGCGCGGGTCCATCTTGTACCAACCCGTACAAGTATCGAGATTCAAAGTCCAAGCTTCCCCTTTGCAGCCTGCAGTGCTACAAAGCAGTCCAGGAGACGTTGACGGCTGAAACCATTTATTGATGTCACGATTGATGGGGTACTTAGATGGGTCGTTGATGCTTACGCTTGTATAAATCATCTGCAGCTTGCTTATTTGCGCAATTGAGGGTTGTGGTACAATCGATAGGTAGCATACATCTTATTTAGCTGAGAAAGGGTTGGAGACTAGAGCAATAAGAGCATATGTGAAGGGCCCTCTCCTCCCCCCCCCCCTCCGTGGACTGATTTATGTGTTGTAAAACTGGTAGTGGACCACCTAGCGTCATTCATTATTGTAATTGTAGCTACTGTAACTATGTGAGAGTTGAAAGCAATTTTACCAGTGGCGTAGAACACTTGACTATTTTGAAGTGTCCTCTGAGGATGATGGAAATGTTTTCTATTTAAAAAATTAAGTATATCATCTGAGAAATTAACTTATCAACAAAAAATGAATTGGAGATAAATGTATTAATATTTTTGCACGGGCATTAAATCTGAGCGATTCGTGAAATATGCTGTTCTATATACAAGGATTCGCTTTCAGATAACGTATGGACTCTTGCAAGTTGGTCCTGGCCGAAAGAATTTATGACCAGGAGATGGTGAACTCGTCTCACAGTTCCACCGTTGGGTGGAGAATCCATCCAATTCGAGGTACGAGGGGGGCCCGAAAAACTGTGAATTTGTTATAGAAGAGGGAGGTATACGAGGAATCGCCAGTAGAAAAGTAGCAGGCTCCGCAAAATGAGTGCATATGGACAACAAAATGGGTGTTTTAAAATAAGGCCAGATTGCAGCAAACACAGGATAACTTGGGGATTTGGCATCTTGTGACATGGAATCTCTCGACTTTTGAAGGACTACTATATGAACGAAGAGTACCTTAGACTTTCTCGAAAGGCCCGTCCATACTCCATACATCCCTATCAATCCACGAGTGCTGCCTACAAAAAGGTTTAATTAGATTTAGCTACTCTTCCACCAAATGAAGTAATGAATCGCCAAAGGACCATGAAAGCAACCCAAAACTTAAAAAAGAAAAGCAGAGCAAATAATGGCCGCCAAAAAAGCATCACTCCCTCTTCCATCATCGATTAAGGTTTACCCCAAGTAAAAGACCTTATCCTGAAATGATATTTGAGCACTCATCCCTGAACCTGGTGCTATCTTTTAATTATTAAACTAAAGGACAATTACTCCCCTTTCTTTTGTTTCACTACCCGAAGTAACCCTTCGTGTTTTGGCGTGAGAGAGATAGATATTGGGGTTTCCCCATCAACCCACTCCGTTATTTCCAGTCTCCCAGGATTGTGTCTACCCACTAACTCTGCTCATGACTAAGTGACGCACTTTCCATGTCTGTGCACTCTCTGCAACAACATAATCAAGAAAAGCAATACTAATACTAGTAAATAAGAAGTAAAAAGAAAGAATCCGAATCGAAAACTAAATGAAACGGGAATTTTATATATGAACATTTCAGTTACATTCGTTGGGCAGCAACCCCTGCCAAAGAAACAAACTTAAATCATGAAGGGGCAACCACAATCCTTTCCTCGGAGAAATTGCGCCTCATTAAGTTTAAGAAAGGTGAAGATATGGGGAGCTCTTCAAGTTCATCGAAAAAGTCATGCTCTTCGGATTTGGGTGTCGACGAGTTCTTGAACTGAGAATAACTGGGGAGCTCTTTTTCTGGGAGGAGATCTATTCTACCATGTATTTTCTCTGGGTTCAGTTGGAAAGGATCTTCTGGGTCAACAATGATGTCTTCAGAGCTCTGAATTGGCGATTGCAAGTAATAGAAATTTTCTTCTTTCACACATTCATAGCTGACCGTCGTGGGCTTGTGATCTTTTTCCCTTTCTTTCTCTTCTTGGTCTTCCACTTTCAAAGTCGCTGGAAGATCTTCAACGGTCTGGTTTTGGGAGTTTTGTGGTAGATTTAGATTGGAGTTGGAGGGACGATCAGGAGGTGGATGGTTATGAGTAGACGTATAGGTAACGATGAGCATTGAAGCATCAGTTCTGCATCTCTCTACTTGCTTTCTGGCTGAACAACCCTTGGATGTGCTGCACCTGTAGTAGCCCCTGCTAAACGAGACAATGGATGAACTATATTCGAGAGAATAGACATTTGAAGTGGAAATGCTTAATCAAACACAACCAGCCAAAGAATGTGAGATTACAACTCCGTCAGTATCAAAACTAGTAGAAAGAAAGAAAGCTAAAACCTTGGGTAAGGAGATCCTTTTATAGGCTTCTGTCCATATTTTCTCCAAGACCATGAATCGGAAGCCAGCCCTTCGTTCTTAAGCTTTCTTGCGTTTTCTCCAACTCTCACCCTCATAACAGTTTTCTGAACTGCAGTTTTCCTGCAACAAGTACGGCACAGAACTAGTTTACCAGTGAACTACCAGTGATGACGAGAAATTATCAGGAATTTCAAATCAAACTTGAGAATCCAAGGCAGCTTTATTTTTCCTTTTTCGCCAAGCATGAACGCACCGTTTTTTTGAGCGGTTGAGCTTCTTTTGCATTGACCTCTGGAGATGCTTCTGACTCAAGTTTTGGGGATGCAGTACCATCCATAGTTGCTTATTCTCTCTTTTACTGGCCTCAGTTGCTACAGGCTTGGAAAGAAAGGAAGAGGATCAAGGAGAGAGCTGTGAAGGATTAGAGAGAGAAACAGGAGAAGAAGGATGGCCTATGTATGATAGCAAAGCAAGCAAGGCGTTCGTCCACTTGCTTTCCACTCATTCAGCTTTTATGAATCATGCCCATGTTTGCTTTGTGCTGGGTGCGTGTGCGTCTATTGTGCATCGAAAGGGTCATTCCTGTACGGGACCCTCGTAACCTAATACTCGAGCTAATTAATTAGATATGTTTTGTTAAAAAAATCATACTATCACGGGTTTAATATGAAAATTAGTTGATTGATTTGAGTAAAATAAGATAATTAGTTAGATTAATTAGTTATAATAAATAAGTGTTGTCTTTTCTAAAATACTCTTACCAATCAAGTATTATTTGATAAAATATTTAATATGTGCAATTATTATAAGGACTATTTTGAGAAAAATAAATAAATATGATAGATAAGGTGGATTAGAGTTTTATATTTAAAAACAAATTAAAAGTAAAATTAACTTTTATATTAAGTACGAGACGTAGAACTATTTAGGATACTTCCTCTTTGTATCACTCATTTTTAATTGTTTCCCACGTATTGAAAATTTGAAAATTAATTGCATCTTTGAATTTATCCCCAAAAAAAAAGAAGAAAATTTATGCTTACTGAGTAGATTTTATATTATACTACCTACGGTCCTTAATATTCTTTTTGTCTTTAATATAGGACTCAATTGTTAAGTTGGTTTTGATTTTAAATATAAGACCCATTTTTATGTTTATCAGTTTTCTCTAAATTACTCTATGGATACTTCCTCAGCCACAATCAAGTAGAAGAGGAAGAAGGGGTATTAAGAAAGATGATTATGGTATTTTAGGAAAAAGTATCTCATTTCTTATAATTAACTAACTTACCTAACTTTCTTAATCTAATCAAATTAGTTAAATAAATTTTATATTAAGGACCGGAGGAGTATAAGACCTTATTTGACTTTTATTTTGGTCCTAAATATAAGACCCTAATCTATTTTGTCTCTCATATTTATATATTTTTTCACAAAGTAGTCCTTCTAACAATAGTAACTCTAACTAATACACTTGATTAGTAAAAATATTTCAGGAAAGACAACACATATTTATTATAAATAACTGACTTAATTTCTTTTTTTAATTTCTTCAAATTAGTCAACTAACTCTTATAATTACAACCATTACAACCGGAGGTGGTAGAATAGAATGCAAACCTTCGACAGAAAGTCTTATGAGAAGGAAGAAGGCAAATTTTATATTAATGCTGAAGTATTGGCTGCAGCCATGGCCGATGTCCGTGAGTGAGAACGAGCACCACGTGGGGTGGGGATCTTCCGATTCCAACCTGGAATGAATTGGTAAGCGTTTGATTCGCATCATGGTATCATGGTATATAATTTATGCTGTGGCCGTTTCATGAGAACAGGTTAACTCCTTCCTTCTATCTCTGGTTCTTTTTCCTGAATATTCATTGTTCTCAAGGATCGTTAGAAATAACTTTAAATAATTTTTTTAATTAAAATTTATAAAATATAAAATAAATATGTGGGAAGAGTTTTAATTTATATAAAACGTTTTTATAAATATTTTTAAATGCTATTTCAAACAGTGCTTAATAATTTGATAAGTGATGTTATTGTCGGTGCAGGAGGAGCGGAGACATGACAAAGAACCTGCATGGCTGACCAATGACCACCTTATGATTTCCTTTTCTCCAATCCCATGGTTTCACCAAATGCAAGATTTTCCTTCGTTCTATTTTCTTCTTCGTCCCGATCAAGACTGCTGCATGTGGTGGTCAGTGAAAAAAAAAAAAAAAAACTGATTGGTCCAGAACAACTGTCATCCTTTTTACACAATTGTATCCTTCTATTAAAAACAGGAAATAATCATGTTCTAAGCGCTCTCTAACACTAAACATGGGTTGTGATAAGTTTATTTATGGGGTATCTAATTAACATAAAAAACATTTCTAAAAAACACTTTCATGTGATTTGAAAAAAAAATTACTCTTACATATTTATTTTGTATATTATAAAATTATATATAGTTTGATTTCCGTCTAAATAATTCTTAGATTGTTTTGTCCAGTCCAACGGGCTTTTCAGCATCCAACTTTTGAGCCCATTAGAAAGGAGACAAAATAGACGGCAACAAAAACACGTCATTATGCCCCAAAAGAAAACATGGCATTACCCGTACCAAAAACAAAACGTATTATGTGTGATCAAGCGATGACATCTTGGGGCAAGGAGAACAGCTACTTGGAACCCAACAAACAGGGTTTGGTCCATGAAAACAAAAAATATTTGCAGCTTTGCTCTTTTTTTTTTTTTTGCTAAAACATAGATATCTTCCTATTAGAGACAATCTTATTAAAGACACTGTCAGGCACTAAATATGGATACCTCTCCTAGTGGGGATTCGAACCTTTAATATCAGATATTACCTTGTCAAGTGCCAACTATCAACCCTGTCAAGTGTCAATATATAGCTAATTTATAAGAGCACGTATTGTGTGTAAGTTATATCCCAGACTTTATACAATTTAATTGTCATAAAAACCCGGTTGAGGTAAAACAAGTTGACAGCATTCAGAAACATCTAATCGATCGATGAGATGTTGGTCTAAGTGCTTATATATATACATAGAGAGAGAGAGAGAGAGGTGAGATATAAGTTTTGCCGCTGAAGAGAGAATCTTTGGGCAAACAAAGAACCACCTACTATTGATCCTCACTCTCCATCGTCTAATCCTTTTCTGAAGCCGTTGTTGCATCGCTGTAACGTAATAAGTCCGAGTCTGCAATATTCCCCTCCCCCGCCTAACATCAGAACTTGTTTAATTAATTAGTTTGTTAATTAATCTGCGATGACCTGCGTACCGAACGCCTCTTTTCTTTTTGAGCGGGTACGTTTGTTGACATCGTAAGTGGGTACGTTCGGTACCGTACCAAAATGTGGTTTTGGTATTTAATTTATATAATAATTTCGGCCAAAATTATTTTCGATGTCAAATGCTCGTTCTGCCCGTCAACTTTCTATTTGATAATTACTTGAGTAAGTTGGCCCAGCTATTATAGTTGAGAAGGAAAATAAAAAATTAAAAGCTAAAATTTTCACATACTTCAATTCTTCAACAATACATTTCATACACCTTGCGATTTCTTTGAATCATATATGATATAGCCCGCTTCAAAGGCTTCTGTGACATTTTAATGTATATTATTCCTTCTTCAAAAATTATGCTTTATTTTATCTCAACTCGGGAATTCAAGATGATAAAATTGAGTGAACATCGCTGGACCTTATAATAAGCCTGAGGCCCAGGGGGCATCAAATTGACTTTTTTCAGGTACATATTTCTTCACTGACTTTGTCAGACGTTCCGTGAGACACCATGTGAATCCGGTTAATACGCGAGAGACAGAGGAAACTACTAATTCAATACGTACGCCTTTGATTCTACTCTGTATACAATGACAACAATTGAAAGATTTTTTTAATTAAAAGAATCAAGTCCCCCAGAACTTGTTGACTCAAGTTTTCTGTTAGTTCGATCTATTTACTTTCGAGTCTTTATTTTTTAGGCTGAGGTACCTAGGAGAAGCTAGTCCCTTCGTGGTCAAACTTGATTCTTGATAGGAAAAAATCATGGAGGAAGCGTGGAATGGATAACATTAGTATATATGGATGTTAATGGACGTGGCAACCACTTTCAAGTTCCCTTTTGCAGCAACTAGCAGCTGCCAATCTGCATATATAGAGACCTTAAGGTGGAAGTTGGCGTTGCTGGTGTTCGTCAAATTAAGTTATTATGGGTTGGCAGAGATGGAATCAGAAGGCCAATGATCTACTGGGCTCTGCTTCTCCCATGCAGGTCTTCCACCTCTTCACGCTCACAATCCTCAGTCTTCTTCTGCCGACCTCGTTTCTTCTCCTTGCCAGGCTCTCTGCTTCTCAATATTATCTCCAAAGCACCGCATCGTTTCCTTCCCCTTGCCCATCTCTTCATCTTTACTCGCTGCTTCTTCACATCAACCCAAACGTTCTCTACCTTCTCGTGTCTATTGTTAGCGTAGCCACTCTAATCCACGGCCTGACCTGCAAATTCAGCTTTTTTGCCCAATCATCAACCTCTCTTCTCAAACTTCCTCTTCATGCTTCGTGGATTCTTCTCTGTTCTTTTCAGGTTTGCGTTGGCTTAGGCATCAAAGGGAACATAGCGACGGATGTTTATGATTCCGATCCCAGTTTTGGCCTCCGAAGAAGTTTCTTCAGCAAATTAATTTTTCTCTTGGGGCTGCACGAGACAACTCAGGTTTGGTCCAGGACGGTGGTTAAGCCGGTGGTGGATGATTCGATGCTTGGAAATTCCAGAAAGGAAAGATGGGTTGAAAGGGTGGCCGTCGCCGCCAGCTTAGGTGGCTTGTGGTGGTGGAGGTTGAGGGAGGAGGTGGAGACTTTGATGGTTATGGCGGAGGCCAAGACCGAGCAATTAATGGATATGGAAATGAGAGATTTTGTTGGGTGGTGGTTGTACTACCTGACGGTGACCATTGGGATGGTCAGGATTCTCAAGGGTCTGTTGTGGATCGCCATGATTTGTGTGTGTAGGAGAAGGGTAACAGAGAGTTCCTTGGCTGGGCCCAACGAGAACGACGACAAGGTGTGAATTTGACCAACTCTGTATGTGACCGTCTTTCGTTTTTTTTTGGTTTTAATTGCGAGTTTATGGTGCCCAATTGAGCACCAATCCAATTGTATAAACTTGAACCAAACATTGCGTAAAATGGTCCAACGATTTAGTCCATAATTACTTGGTTGGCATGGAGCACTTATCCAGCAAATATTCTTGAATTACAATGCGTGTTCTTGGATAATATATTATATAAATATATACAAGTGGGATGAATAACAGGGCATCAATATCTATAGATCACAGATGTAGCATGGTTTTATAAATGGTGTTTGATTCAAAAGTAGGTTGTCCAATAAATGATTTCTTTGGGTTAGCTTGGCCATTAAAATACATATATATGACAGTTGATGCTATTTTAGAACAGATCTTATCCACACACAGTGGCAATTTGGTGAGAAAATTCTATCTTAAACGATAGAAAATCCAAATCTATATGCTTATTACCATGTCTGTAATTCTCAGAAACATTATTGTTCGCGATTCGTGATTAGAGGGCCGGGGATTACTTGAGCTATTTCTGTGAAAGGTTTTCGTTTACCGACTACCGTTGTCCATCACTGAGCTAGACAGAAATAAGTACTTGACTTTTTTCATTTTTATCAGTTAGGCTAAAAACAAGCGTTTTAAAATTTAGAACATTTGTAACGTTTAATTCTTGGAGTGTAAGGGAAGTTAAATATCATTATCTTAGAAATAATCTCCCTGTCCTTTTCCAAGTCCTCGTAGAGCTAATTGGACTCAATTCTAAGGCACTTCATTATTATTTTTTGGGTAAGAGACAACCGAATCAATACACACCCACCCAATCATGATTCATCCACACGAAAAACCATTAGAGACTCTTATTCCTTTAAAATCTGGCAATTATTCAGCCATAAGCCGATAACTACTTGTGGTCTATCTTTTGTATGCGTGTAGAAAATTTCGAAGTTAATCGTCTCACTCCCCTGTACTTATAGAAGGGGTCAATCCTTCATCAATATGAAAAGGCTCTCTTTTTTTTCCAGAAAAATGTTGTCTCCATTAGCTCGGCTGAGTTTCTTAGGAAGCCTTGTCATATATTATTGGACGCGTTACCCGGCGGTCTGTTTGGATGCCAAACATCGTTTCCATAACGACAAACCAAGAGCCAATGAGCCATAATGATTACGGCAGACCAAAACCAGCCATCTTTGTTTAATACAAATTGCAGGGCTTTTATAATTGCTGCCTGACGGTTTTGATGAAAGTATCGAAACATCATAATCGAAGTTGCGTTAGTCCTTACATGATCCATGTACTTCAATGTTTAAATAAGTCCGTTATGGTGAAGTTTCTTCGATCAATTAAATACTCATGTCTTACAGTGACTGATGATAATGCATGTAGGCCAGTCGTATATTTAAATGGAGAAACTCATTGTCTTGAATGCAAACCGTTAAAAGACTTTTCTTGCTTTCCTCTATCATCCGAATGAGGAATGATCATTTTTCTGTTACACCTTTCAATTTCAGAGGCATCCAGGGCGGTTGTGGTTCCGCACAAGAGGAAGTATTTGAGTTCCCAGGGAAACACGGTTTCTTTCAGGCACAGATTGATTCTTTCTCTGCAGTGGATGGGAAAGGAGCCCAATCATATAAAAATCAAATTCATCTGCAACCGAATGTGCCCAAATTTGATATCCAGGTTCCAGAAGAGTCCAACATCGACCCTGCTCTGCAAATGACACAACCGTTTCAGGAAATCGTGGGGCTTAAGAATCAGGAAGGGGCAAGTTCAGAACTTGTCAATGAGGGCAACAATAAGCAGGTGCCACAATCTTCTTTAGCATACTTGGAGCTGCTGAGTAATTACGCAGGCAGGTTCAAGAAGTTAAGGGTCCAAGACATAACCGACTCGAACAATAGTGAAGCTCATGCAGGTCACCAGGATTTGTCAGCTGAAGAAATAATAAGAGTGGCTGGAGCAAGGTACGTACAATTTTCTACTCATTGGTGTGATGATTATTGCATGCCTCTGCACCCATATGCCTCTGGTCTCGAGGATCTGTCTGAAAAAGAAAATAGAGATGTTGAACTTGCACAGTTTCTTCTTGCTGCGGCCGAGAGGGTTAGTTGCCAACAGCTTGAACGTGCAAGCAGGATGCTTCTTCATTGCTTATTTAATTCATCTCCTGGCGGAAATGCTATGCAGAGAGTTATCTTTCATTTCGCTCAAGCACTTCGAGAGAGAATTGAAAAAGAAGCAGGGGGCACCATTTTGATGGGTTGTCCAAAGAACATAGAAAACGAGTTAATTCAAAACTTGGATACCAACATAGCCCTTGCTTGTCATCAGAAAATTCCTTTCAACCAAGTGATGCAATTCGCTGGTGTACAAGCTATGGTGGAGCACGTTGCACATGATACAAAAATCCATGTTATAGATCTTGATATCAGGCGTGGAATTCAGTGGACGTGTTTGATGCAGGCACTCGTAGGGAGGAACGAAAGCAGAGTGGAGCTCTTGAAGATAACTGCTATAGGAATTGTTGGCCAGCCCACTGTAGAAGAAACTGGCAAAAGATTGACGAGTTTCGCTAGATCGTTGAACTTGCCATTCGCATATAAGCAAGTTTATGTTACAGACATGATCGAAATTACAGAACAACATTTTGAAATTGAAGATGATGAAGCCGTGGCTGTCTACGCTCTGTATGTACTTAGGACTATGGTATCAAGGCCAGCTTGCTTGGAAAACCTGATGAGTGTAATAAGAAATATCAAACCAATTATAATGGTAGTTCTTGAAGTGGAAGCCAATCATAATTCATCCTCATTCGCAATTCGCTTCATTGAAGCATTGTTCCACTACTCGGCATTTTTTGATTGCCTCGAGACCTGCTTAAAAGGTGAAAATAGGGGCAGAATGGCAACGGAAGCAATATTATCTGAAGGGATACGAAACATTGTTGCTGCGGAAGGAGGAGAAAGAACAGTGAGGAATGTGAAGATAGAAGTGTGGAGGAGGTTCTTTGCAAGGTACAGAATGGTGGAAATTGGATTTAGCGAGTCATCTCTGTACCAAGCTAGCTTGGTGGCCAGAGAATTCGCCAGCGGCAAATTTTGCACTCTGGACACAAATGGAAAATGTCTTACGGTTGGGTGGAAGGGGACCCCATTGCATACCGTTTCAGCTTGGAGGTTCCTTTGAGAGCATAATTGAAAGATTTAATTTGACAAATTTGCGCGCACCTTCAATCCACGGTTAAGTCTGACATAAGTTTTTGTTCAGTACATCAACGTATAATTACTAGTACTGTCCCCCCCCGGGGGGCAATACACTTAGATTGCTTTATGTGAGTTTATGTATGTCATGTTTAAATGCATGAGATGCATATGTGTGCAGAAAAAAGTTGGGAGATATTGTCTAAATTGCAAAATAAAATGCAACTGCTCATTCTATGCACACGGAGCTCCACAGCCCTGACTGCCTGGAAGGAGGTATTGAGGAGGCTCGGGATTCAGATTAAAAAAATACCAACTTTTCAAGTTTTATTAAGAAAATGAGTCATTTTTTCACAGTATCCTTTCAAATTAATTAAATTTTTTTAATTAACTTTTCCATTCACTTATTTTCTTTATTAAAAAAATTTATAACCCTAGTCACACACACACTTCGGCTCCCTTTCAGCTAAAGAAGTGTTAATTATCCAATATCATGAGAATTATTGAAATTAATCGGTCAATGATAAGGGAATTGACAAATCAATTGACAAGTCACGTGTCTTTTTCTTTCATTTAATTAGGAGTTTCCTTTTTTTAGGCTTAAAGGTCTTCTTCTCTCCCAACAAGTGTACTTTTTGGAATTCAAATTTGTGTTTTCTTCTTTACGAGAATAAAATCATTTACCATCTTAACCAATAACTTGTTGGTCATATGTTTATTTTTTGTTGTTGGGGCTAAAAAGCCAGCTACCTAATTCTTCTTCTTCATTTGTTTTTAATAAGAAGGGAGCTCAGCCAATTACACTGGGTCTGACCACTGTTATTAGAATCCTTCTCTAAGTAGGCATCTAACCCTGTAAAGCTATCATGGAACGGATGAAAACAAGAGAGACAAGAGAGGACCCTTTTGACAAGAAAGTCTGTTACTACGGGGTGTTTTGGATATTTCGGAGGTATTTTTAAAAATATTTTTTCTCAAATTAAAATAAATTTTTTTATATATTTATTTCGTATATCATAAAATCATAGTTTAATTTTCATTCAAAAACTCTCTATATTTAGCATCTCAATGAATCGCCTGTACTTGCACGGTCCAACTCTCTAGCCAGTAGGTGCCGAACGTCTTGGATGATGTTGAAGTTTGCACGTTCAGGGAGTCCGCCAATCTTTCTATGACAAGGTATTTTTGAGTCTTGGTAAGAAGTCAATCCATTTATGCGTCACACGGCACCCAGGTTGACCTGATATTATGTGCAGGGGTCCTCCTCTTTTATCTTGCATTATTCCAATAACATCCCATAACAGGCCCCAATTACCATACTTCTTCCGCTGCATAATAATAAGTCATTTTAATTAATTTATCAATAGTCATCATAAATAAATGTGGAAATCCTGCACAGATATTCATATTTAATGCTCAATAGTATCTTGAATAAGATTGTTTTTAATAAGAAGATATACGTGTGTAGAAAGAAAATATAATGGTTAGTTCATTAAATGTATTTTGAATTGAAAATATTTTTCAAGTTTCCCCATGCTGAAAAAAATTATGAAGATGAGAGAAAAATACAAGGAGTTATTCTTCTAGTCTTATTTATAAGGTAAAGAGAGAAGACATTTTTTTTGTCTTATGTATAGGATATTTAGAAAAATTTTCTGTATGTATATACAATTTTACCATTCATTTATTATTGTGTTGATTTTTTTATATGAGATATAATGTATATTAAATAGGAATAAAATTGAAAAGTTGTTCAATTTTAAATGAATAGTTAATGAAGTTTAAGATTTTTCTTGATCTATGTAAAATATGTTAGAAGTCACTTATAAATAGGACCAGAAGAGTATATTTAATCATTAATTATGTGAATAAAATTAAAATTAACTATTAATTATTTTTAAGTGACTTATATTTTAAAGTAAATTATTGTTCCAGAAGTATAACACTCATATTTTAAGTCAGGGAAATCACCTTAGGCCTGGGCGACTAATTTTGATTGGGCAAATGACCTAGGCCAGAATGGTCACGTGCATGATCAGCCGGAAAAGAAAATGAATCGGCAGGAGTTGCGGTATTTAGTTGGGCTGGGTCGGCCCATTTGACTGCACAGCCTGGACGAAGTTCCTCAATAACGTGTATCCTCCCTTCGGCGTCCCGTTTGTAAATCCCCATCGACTTCTTCGCGTGGAAGAGATCCATTGCCATTGTCTCCGGTGAGCCCTCCCCGCCCCTCTGTTTGTATTCATATCACGGCCGCAGCGGCTCTCATACGATGTATTTAGATTCGTTAAGTAATGCTTTTCTTCGGCGGTTTTCTTTGATAATTCGCTGATTAGGGTTAATTTGCGTCGCCGTTGTCAATCCACGAGAATTAGCTGCTCGCTTTGTCGATCTATTTTATTTTCTTGAATTCATTGGGTAAACAATGCTAAATTGGGAACTGGATTGAAACCTTTGGTATAGAATGACGATCCTTTGGCCTGCTGAAGTTTCGTCCGATGCGATTGATCGATTTTTGGAATATTTATTAGGCGAATGAGAAGTCACAGAAGTAGGAATCCATTGCTGTTTGGTTTGAGAGAAAAATGTCTATGCAAGTTTTCTGCATGCTTTAAGGGTTTTGATTATTATGCTTGCAGAATTTTTAATATTGTAGAATTGATTGAGCAGAAATTTTGATGAGCTAGAAGCAGCTTCGATAAACTGATACTTGTGTATGAACTCGTGGTTATGGATCAAGGATGAAGTGAAACTAGCATTTAAGAATTGATAATTATAGCATTCATGCCTATATACTTAAATCTAGGATGGATTCTGATGCTTGCCTTCTATAGAGTACGTCTTTATTCAGGAAAAAAAAAAAACACACACACACACACACACCAGAATTCAGAAACTACAATTTCTTTGTTTGGTGCAATAATAATGGTTGAGGTAGTAGTATATCTCATAGCAGATAGTTTTCTGGTTTGACGATTTCTTCTTAAGTAATAGATATATTAAAATGAACTTAATCCGATGTGAATTCCTATATCTAATTATAGTGATTGATTCCCGGGAATGGATGCCATTGTTTTTTGACTTCTGTCCTAGTTTGATATTTGATTTTACGAAACCAAGAGGTGTTGGGTCTGTTTTGGTAGAATTAAGAAGCTTGAAGACAGAAGTAAATGGCTGGACCGAGGATTGCTCATGCTACCTTGAAAGGGCCAAGTGTTGTGAAGGAGATATGCATTGGCTTCGTACTTGCTCTTGCCGCTGGCAGTGTGTGGAAGATGCATCACTGGAATGAACAGAGGAAAGTCAGGACCTTTTATGATTTACTAGAGAAAGGTGAGATTAGTGTTATTGCAGAGGAAGAGTAAACCTCATGCCTTGTGTCTGTGACATCCATTTATCAGCCATTTTTCTACTATTTGATGGGCTCTTTAAATCAGATGAGCTGAACTTATTGTAAGATTTAAAAGAATAAGTTTCATGCACTGAGTTGTGGACTATATTGTTGACTTGGAAATTTTATGAAGTTTTGCTCTATTTTCTTTCCGTGCTTCCGTGATGCCTTTACCGCTTTCATAATTGTATTTGTTTTGTTATATTTTCCTTTGGGATTTGCAACTCACTTCTAAACCAAGTGTTTGACAAGCATACAAAAAGTAATATCACAAGTCTGAGCTTTTGTGGGAATCTGAAAGAAGGTATTTATCTATCTTGAAGATATGAAACGCGGAATTCTGGGATTGGACAATAAGTTTTATGGTTGTTCCAACGGTTGTCGGTGCAATGCTTGATGATTGTTAAATAGCTCTTTTTTTCTTTTTGGTTAGCCTCAAATGACTGGTAAGTGGTTGAAGGCACCTGCTTTTTGCCTTTTCCTTTCACTTTCACTTTGAGTTGTGGTTTCCAGAAGCCTAAGTGAGTTTTGTTGAGTGACTGGACGTAACCCCGCATACATGAATGATAGTTTGGTACAAGGACGCGGGATGAACGCAAAGCTAATGCTTTGCTTGGATCCCTGAATTTAGATAAACTTTGAAGAGGAATCTGTGAGGGAAATGGTGAGATTAAGCTCTGCCCGGACGCTCAATTAGTGATGGTACTCACTTTGATTTAGAAAAGGTAAAGGATGGTTAATATTTGAATAAAATTTGACGTGGGCAGTTTGCTGGGGTGCACTAAACCTTGAGTGCTAGCAGAATCAGTGCGAGCAGCTCCTCTAATTTCCGATACCCATGATCAAGGCATTTGGTTGACCAGATGAGAGGGGCGTCTAGACTTGCTAGCTAGTTCACGTAAATTATGCGCGTAAGTAGACATGAGTAGCATCCCTGTTATGATTACATTGATAACAACAAGTTCAATATTTCAACGGAATGCTGTGAACCGTCTCCCTTGAATTCTGGCTAAATTAAGTGATGACCCTCATCAAACATTTAGCCGAAAAGGATGAGTTCAATTCCAGAACAGAAATCATTTTCACACAACTGCACAAGTGATTCTGTGATCATGGGGTTCCTATGCGGCGAACTGCCATTAGCTTTTTGTACCACCTAAATGAATACTACCTCCGATCCTTATTATAAGACCCCGTTTGACTTTTTGTTTGGTCTTAATTATAAGACCCCAATCCATTTTATCTCTCATATTTATGTATTTTTTTCCAAGATAATCCTTCTAATAATGATAGTTCTAGCCAATATACTTAATTAGCAAGGATATTTTAGTAATGACAATATTTATTTATTACAAATAACTAATTTAACTTACTTCCTTAATCTCCTCAAATAAGTCAACTGGGTCTTATAATTAGGACCGGAGGTAGTATTATACCTCAGGAATGTTTCTGTTTTCAGACACGTTTTCTCAACACCCGGCTTCTTTCTGCAAGGGATTAATGTTGTACTATCTCCGATTCTCAGTTACACTACAAACTAGTTTTTATATTTATGCATTCAAATTGCCATGCGGGGTCGCTTCTCTTCCATGTAT